TTTTGTGAGAATTGTGGACTGTTGTCATTCACATCTGATATCTGAATACTGAGTGTTTTAAAAGTAGATAAAGGAGGCTCACCACAGTCTGTGGCTTTTATTGTTATTTCATATTGTGACACCTGTTCTCGATCCAGAAGTCCCTTGGTTACAACTGAATACGTGTTTTCTTTATATGATGGCTTCAGTTCAAAAGGTACTTCATTAGTTATGGTTGATATTATTTTTCCATTGACACCAGAGTCTTTGTCTTTCACACTGAGTAGTGAAATAACTGTTCCAGGTTTTGAGTCCTCAGACACTGTATTTGATAGTGATGTCATTTGTATTTCTGGTGCATTGTCATTGACATCTATAACTTTTATAATGACTCTACACTCACCCGTTAACGGAGGCGTTCCTTTATCAGATGCCTCAACGTCCAATTCATATAAGTCACTTTCTTCAAAGTCCACCACTCCTTTTACTATAATTTCTCCTGTTAATTTGTTCAGTTCAAAAGTATCATAGACTTTTCGCCTCAGAGTTTTCCCAAGACTGTATTGAACTTCTCCATTAGTATCTTCATCTAGATCAGTCGCGTTCATTCTGAACACTGAAGTACCGACAGGAATGTTTTCTTTTATTGAGATCTGGTAAATCTCCTCACTGAATATTGGACGATTATCATTGCTATCAAGTACAATAATAGATACATTCAGCGTTCCTGATCTCGGAGGTTTACCTCCATCAACTGCTGTAACCAGCAGCGTGTGTTTGTTCTTTTGTTCTCTGTCTAACGCTTTCTTCAGCACTAAAAATGGTATCTTTCCCGCGTCACTCTGACGGATATTTACTTCAAAATGTTCATTTGACGTTAAAGTATATGTACGTATAGAGTTAATTCCTGCATCGGGATCGTGAGCAGTGTGCAGCTGAAATCGCTTTCCTGGCAATGTTTGTTCAGCTATTTCAAACGTCTGCTCTCTTTCAGGAAAATTGGGAGAGTGATCATTGACATCAGTAATTTCTACCACTACATAATGTATTTCCAAAGGGTTTTCTACAAGGATCTTCAGTTCCACCAGACAAGCGCCGCTTCCCTCACAGAGCTCCTCTCTGTCAATTTGACTACTGACGTACAAAGCCCCGTTATTCTGGTTTACACCAAAAATCGCGTTCTTACTTTCCGACACAACACGGAACCGTCGATCTGTCAAGGAAGCGATGTCCAGGCCGAGATCCTTAGCAATATTTCCAACAACAGTTCCCTCTTGTACCTCCTCTGGAACAGAGTATCGTATCTGAGCCAAAGCCTCTCTTCCCACAAAAATCAGCAGACCGAGGGCAAACCAGGAGTAGTCCCTTCTCCGATTTGTGTTTGTCCCCATCGTTGTTCAACAGCACATATAATCACAGGAGCCCCTTTATGCCACTAACGATTATTTCAATCCATTGAGGTTCGTATATCTCCAGAACGATCGAGGTGATTTTGTCGGCTGGTGCATTTGATTCAATGCTTTGCTCTGCTGAGATGACAAACAAAGGGTTCGTGAGGGGAGGGACGAAAANACCACTACATAATGTATTTCCAAAGGGTTTTCTACAAGGATCTTCAGTTCCACCAGACAAGCACCGCTTCCCTCACAGAGCTCCTCTCTGTCGATTTGACTACTGACGTACAAAGCCCCGTTATTCTGGTTTACACCAAAAATCGCGTTCTTACTTTCAGACACAACACGGAACCGTCGATCCGTCAAGGAAGCGATGTCCAGGCCGAGATCCTTAGCAACATTTCCAACAACAGTTCCCTCTTGTACCTCCTCTGGAACAGAGTATCGTATCTGAGCCAAAGCCTCTCTTCCTACAAAAATCAGCAGACCGAGGGCAAACCAGGAGTAGTCCCTTCTCCGATTTGTGTTTGTCCCCATCGTTATTCAACAGCTCATATAATCACAGGAGCCCCTTTATGCCACTAACGATTATTTCAATCCATTGAGGTTCGTATATCTCCAGAACGATCGAGGTGATTTTGTCGGCTGGTGCATTTGATTCAATGCTTTGCTCTGCTGAGATGACAAACAAAGGGTTCGTGAGGGGAGGGACGAAAACTGTTAGGTTTTCTGATTTAATAGTGACACCCAGAGGTTAGGACTGAGAGTAAATCATATTTTCTCTCTTTTTTTTTAACTCTTCTTTTCGTTTTTATTCATTTTGTGGAACTTCTCTTTCGGCTTTTTCGATAGAAATAACATGAAACGGGTACTGAATCACAAGAATTTGAGCATTTGAACAATGTTGTTTCTGTTTCTCTCACGTACAATCACATAAAAATTATACTTCTTCATTGATCTAACGTTCCATGACAACTATTTTTGACCATAAAAAGACTGTATTCATCGTTGTCTTTATTTATTTTTCGTTTGTTTGTTTGTTTGTTAAAAAAACAAAGAAGAATACGCTGCTTGTGTCTTTCAGAACCATGGACAGCAACCCAATGTCGTCACAAAGCACTTTCCTGTTCATCACCACTAATGCAGCAAAATATTGTAGCAGCTAAGCCCATGCAAAAGCTCAAACAACGAACAACATAAACATTGCAGCGTCCTCAAACTCTGTCAGTTTTATGTAAGAAACATTTCGAGATCCAACAGACAACAACAGGCTGCTCACATCGTTCTAAATGAAGAAAAAAATTACTCTTTTGTTGGGAAAAAGCAATGTTTCGATTTCAGCACCAACAACAGCATTGAAAATGAGAGCCAGAGCTTGTGCTCTTTACAAAGTTTGATCTCTTTTATATATTTCAGATGTATCAGTATACATCATGACTATGACCATTATGAGCGAAAAATGACAGATCAAGACAAAACAAACTTGTCTTTTCCCACATCTCTTACTATGTAAGCAAGCACTTTGTATAATAAATTAAACAATATAAATAAAAGACTTTCTAAAAATCAATTTAAACAAGCCTATAGGAATATAGTGGAAAGCTACATACTCTGCAAGAAGTTTGAGAGGAACAAAGACAACGCAGCTTTCAGCAAAAATGCAAAGGAAAATGTGCTTTCATATTGCAAAGTTTTGTTCTTAAGGTCTTACCTCTTC